AATGGAATTAGCGATGATTGAGGCTATAATTGAAACAGTAGGGGACACGTAAGGTAATGAGGAATAGCTTTTCTAGTTTCTAGTTGTTTAGTTAGTGGTGGGGTAATGTATTGACAATTTTACTTCCAAATCCTAAAGTCAAATCTCCACCAGAATTATTGTTGTGCCGGTCAATTTAAGTTTTTCGTTTCGATTTGATTTGTACTCTAGTTTACTTCTAGATTGTTTGTTTCTGTTTTGGAGTCTGAGACAAATATAACTAGTTTGGGGGAAAAGAGTTAACATTTGTCGGAAAAATATATGAAAACAATAATATTACTTGTGTGAATTTTATGAGTCATGGCCAAACATTTCTACTATGATTGTTGCATAATTTTATAAGTTAATTTGGTTTTAACATTAGCAAAATATTATTTCGAGGAGCATTTAATTTAAAATATAAAACATAAATTTATAAAAAAATTTTGTAGACGTTTGTGGTACAAATTAGCTTAGCCGGTAATCTTTTATGTATTTCTAGTTGACCAGAAAAAAAAGATACAAGTACATAATTTTGTTTTTTTTAAAATATGAATATGATTCATTCTTTACAATTAAATTCGTTTTTACTTTAATTTACTTTGATTTGTGTGTCTATAATATAGTTTATGCCAAAATTTCTTTTATCAACGGCTGGTCATGTATGAAATTTGTTGGTTCTAGTTCGATATAAACCATTCAAATTACCAAAATCAAATATGAAAAAATTTACCTGACTCTTATACAATGCAATACATTATTTTCATTAATATACACCTAAAGTCTACATAAATACATCATTTTTTTATTATCAAAAAATAACAAAAATACAAAACAAATAAATCACTTACAAGCTAAAAACAATGTGAAACTTAACACGCAAGCAATAAAAAAACTTACACTCACTTCAACAAGATAACTAAACTTCTCATTGTTCTAAAGAAGAATTACGCCTCTTCCGGCTAAAAAATTTGACCATGTTTGGAACTTTCTTCTTCTTCTTGATTACAAAGAATGTTGGAGTCGCTCGGTTCCCTGATGAGTACCTTCTCGACTTCCCTCCCTGAACCGGTGCAAATTTCCCGCTCAGCCTAACCGATTTTCTCACCGGTTTAGGAGAGTTGATCAAGCCATTGTCTTCTGAATTTCCCTTGAACTTCTGAATCTCATCTTGGACCAATCTCTTTATCGATAGCGACCTCTGCATCCTAAACGATTCCCTCTCTTCTTCCAACATTGTTTTCCCACTCACTCTCTTTAAAGATTCTGTCTTTATCATAATCGCCTTAGTGCTAGCCTTTAGTGCTTCGACCCACGCCATTGCTGCTTCCACTTTCTTCTCTGCAGTTTCTTCAGCATGACAAGCTTTTCCACTCAAATACTCGTACTCAAATCTCGATATTGTAATAGTTGAATTACGCCGAGATTCCATTTCTCGAGTTTCCATTGTTTTCTCTACCATTGTTTCAAGCTTCTCTAGAGCTAAACTCTCTGCGTGCTTCGCTTTCTCAAGCTCATCTAACTTGGAAAGCAACTCTTTTTCCTTTCCATCAAATCCTGTTTCGGTTTTCTGTATCTCATTGTTGATGATCCTTGCTTCTTCTCTAAGCTTAAGCTCCTCTTTCTTTGCAGCTTCTCTATCACTCTTTAGTTTCTCAAACGAAGTAGTTAAATTGTCAGCAAGATAGCTGATTCTTTCTTCAGCTTTAGATACTGCTTCTAATTGATCTTTCGCAATAAGCAGCTTCGTATTGAGTCTCTCAAGCATTACATCATCCTTTTGTATCATCTTATCTAACCAAGCTGTTTCTTTCTTTGCATGGTCAAATTCTTTCCTCAATGTATCCATTGTATTGACTAGACAAAATAACTCCGCGTTAATAGAAGCGAGTTCTGCCTTCTTCGCTTCTGTTGCTTCGGTAACTTCTTTCAAAACCGACAAATTATCCTTCCCTCTTTCGAAAGCTCGGTTTTTCGATCTCGACATACTCTCATTCCTCTGAACCTTCCTCTCCATTTCCTTGACAAGCTTTAACTGAGTTTCTAACATCTCAATATCTAACAAAGTCTCAGCTAACTCATTCTCAAAGTTCTTCGATCTCTCAATCTCTCTAATCATTTCCCTTATTCTTTTCTTTCGTTTATGCAATGACTCAGACACTTCCTTCCTTTCCTTCTCCCTCTGCTCTTCAACCTCTTTACACTCCTTCAAAGCCTCGATCTTCGCCACTTCAACCAATACATGTTCTTCATTCGCAACATCAACTTCTAACTTGAGACTCTCAAGCAACTTCAAATTCTCCTCCATTCTAGACTCCAACTCCATTACTTCTTTCTCCGCCACAACTTTCTCTCTCGAAACATACACTACATCAAGCTTCAGCTTACTCAATTCTTGCTTCATATCTTCTAACTCTCTCATAATCCTAACATAACCACCATTCCCATCTATCCTTGACTCATTCATCACAGCTTCAATATCGATTCTCCGAGACTTTAACCTTCTATTCGACTCCTCTATCCGTAAAGTAAGCTCCTTTACTATCTTCTTCGCCTTACACAATTCCACTTCTGCTTTGGCCTTAGCAGACTCAGCAACTCTTCTACTCTCTCTGTAGATACCAAGTTCTCTACCTGACTTATGCAAATCCTCAGCAACCGAAGACTGTTAACAACAAAACTCATAAATTAGAACAAATAAATCATCATCATCATCATCACCTACAGAAAAATTGCCTTAAGATTTCAAAATCATAACTTTAGCAATAAAAATCGAAACTTTAGCAATTGTACACAAAATTGCATCATTTGCATTAAAAATTGAAACTTAAGCAATTGTACACAAAATTGCATCATTTGCATTAAAAATCGAAACTTTAGCAATATAACAACATTCTTTGCACAAATATGAAAGAAATTTCACATTTTTCATCTGAAAGATTTGATCTTTGGATTCTCACCTTAATGACGCTTCTTGTAGCTTTTTGTCCGTACTTATTAATGGTGGCTTTCACTGATACAGTTCCATCTAAATTCCTTTCACCCATTGATCAGTTCCTACTAAGTTTCTACTGAAACAATAAACAAATATTCTAGTTCAAGATTGGATTTGGTGATGAACAAAGGGAATTTTTGAAAGGAGACCTTACAGGTGAGTGAGAAGTTGGATGAAGAGAAAGGTTGTGTGTTGCAGAGAATAAACGGAAGAGGAGAAGGAGATGATGATGATTGGTTCACGTCGTCTCTGTTTTCTTATCATTTTGTTTCTGTCTTGGAAAAGTTTAGAGAGAATTTATGAAACTTTTGTTTCTTCTGAGCATTTTATCTGAGGCCAAGGATACCACAAGTAGCATAAACATATATGACATATTGTCTGACCTGTGAGACTATCCCAACTAATTTTCACATACACTAATTGAGAATGAGAATTATCCAAATAAGTCATAAGATTACATGTCCTTTAGTTTATGTGTTGTTTGGTCTTTTGTTTTAGATGGTAGCAATCCAACTAGAAGACAGAATGAAACTGGTTCATCACCCATTCAATATTTGTGATTTAGGCTACTTTCGAAAATTGGGCCTATTGGGCTATTGTAAACTTGAAATTTAATTTTCTTTCGTTTTTGGAGGTCTCTTAGCCCTCAACTGAAATAATTTGATCTAAATTACAAAGCCCTAATTAGTTTCCCAAAAAAAAAAAAAAAAAATTAATAAGCCCTAATTTAATACGTGTGTCACTATTACTTAATACTTATTTTCGACTAAGTTCTTTTTGCATGACGACTAGTTACGTTCACGTTATTTAACATTCAAGATACATGCATTTTGCGTTATGGAATGCAATGCGAAACCCAAACATAATAAATACTAAAACAAGACCTCAAAGAAAAATATAGAATATAACCATATTCCGGACATGAAGATCGTGACATTGGTACTCGTCGTCTTCGTCATACTTTCGACATCATTCCCGGCTGCCATCAAAGCCGAAGACACGGGAGATACAGGAAATGTGGGAGTGACATGTGACGCAAGGCAGCTTCAGCCTTGCCTTGCCGCGATTACGGGAGGAGGACAACCCTCAGGTGCATGTTGTGCAAAGCTTACAGAGCAACAGTCATGCCTCTGTGGTTTCGCTAAGAACCCTGCGTTCGCACAGTACATTAGCTCTCCAAACGCTCGCAAAGTGCTCCTTGCTTGCAATGTTGCTTATCCCACTTGTTGAAACTTATCTAGAGATTTTATAAATAAATAAACGAAAGGAAATAAATTACATTATATCAAACGTTATGATACAATTCAACCGTTTGTGTTAATGTACTGGCTTACATGGTTAAATAAAGTTTATTTTCTTGGTTGTTTTATATATATTTCCGGGAGAAACGGATAACCAAATGCAAAGCACTCGAAAAGATAAAATTGGAATATGTTAAATCGTTACAAATCTTGAGGAATTATGGGTTTTAGCTTAAAACCTCTTAATATTAAAAAAGAAAAAAAGAAATATGTCGAATAAACTAATGTTCGCCGAATCTTTGAGAAAATGGATGATGCCTTTTGAAAGACATTTGGAATATCTAAAATGTATGAATTACTGAGCTCATACATCTGCATGTTAAAATCGGCACGGTATCAAATTTAGGGTATAAAAAGGCACGATCGAAATCATACAGTTTTAAAATAGCCTTTTACCCCTTGTCTACTTTATCATCTGTTATCTTATCAGTAATATTTTCTTTACAAATTTGTATTGCATGTATAATTTGTAACATAAAAATATTATTTGATCTTGGTAATTTAATTATTGTTCTGTGAATAGTCTAATTTCTCTTCGACAAAAAAAAAGAATAGTCTAATTTCTAAGATCCTGAATTTCATTTTTTGGAATTAAAAAATGAGATTATTTGACCAAAATTATAAAATTACGTTATATTCTTCTTCTTTTTTCTTACCAAAAATATTTTTCTCTATAATTTAAAGAAGTCACCTTCGGGTACCTCATGTAAAATTGAAGATACAAAGAAGATTAGCATGACTTCTACACAAGGATGAAAAGCTCAAATTGAGAATTTGTCCAACTTTTTGACGAAAAAGGATAATTTTTTGAATAGACTCACTAGATGATGTTTGCAATAAAATAGTGATCACTTGTCATACCATCATACCAAAGCGCACTCTAGTTTTGGCCAAAATTTGTATTTATGTTAATACCATGACTTAGGACTTAGTTGTATGAAAAGTAGTATGAGAGAATATATTGGCAAAATGATCAAGATAAAGAGTAAAAGCACTTAATATGAATAAAACTGAATGAAAATAGATTTAGTTTTTATTAACCTTACATAATGTTTAACAATACTTTGATTTAACATAATACTATTATTCCTAAGAAAATTTTGTAATCACAAAATCATACATTAAACCATGTATTCTACGTATACACACAACCACCATAACTTGGATCAAAAGTAACGACTTGACCGGTACCACTAAAATTACACTCTTCAGTGCTCCCGTGATTTCTATAGAAATCATTCATCACAAACGATGCATGACTAATAACAGTATCTGGATCAAAGCAAGGTCCACCAGGATTGATCATTACACAATCAACTTTTCCTTCACTACATGCCCAATCAATATTAGCTTGTAGTAGTGTACTTGCCGCCGATGTATTTGCCACACACCATGTCTTGGCCGAGACATGAAAAGGGTGGATTACAACGAGAGAGAAAAGAAAAATTAGTGACAATTGCGGAAACATTGTGGTGTTTTTGCTTGTAAATAATAGATAACTCAAAAGAAATTGCACTATATATAATATGATAAAATTATTTTAATGTAACTTATTTTCCATGATATTTTTTATTTTATTATAAATTTTTGACCAATTTATGAAAATATGTGGTGGAATTTAAGACTAATTGACTAATGAAGTAAATGAAAATTTATGGAATATTATTATGTTATTCAACATATAATATTAATATATATAAACTATTACCTTATATTATAAATTATTTAAATAAAATATTATGAGTATTTAAGCAAATCATTGTTATCATAAATACGATGTTATTTTAATTAAAATATAACACATATTTATTTTTATCTTTTGTAAAAAAAATAGTTTAAGCCTTCGTTGCCTCTTAGGCCATTGGTCGTGGGCTTCCACAGCCATGTCCTCTATCCGAATTTTGTGTCTTGTTTAATTTTAAAACTGTTATTCTTTGTCCGTAGAAGTTTTTCCTTAAGAGGTGAATCCTTATATTCACTTTTTTTTTTATTTCAGATAATCAGAAAATAATACCTAATAAATAAACAAAATTATATAATTATAAAATCTATAATTCTACGGAATTAATGACTTGGTTGTATTCATGTTAACATAATTAATGACTTGGTTGTATGAGAGAATCCAAACCAATGTTGAATATAATGACAAATTCATCAAGATAAAAACACTTACTATGGCTAAAACTGAATGAAAAATAACTTTAGTTTTTATGAATCTTACAAATTGTTTAAAAATACTTTTGATTCTATATAATTTTATTGTTTATTAGAAAAATTTCCAATCACAAAATCATACATCAAATCATGTATTCTACGAATACCTACAACGACGATAACTTGGATCACCACTAATGATTTGACCAGTATGATTGAATTCACATGCCTCTTCAATGCTCCCATGATTCCGATAGTAATCATTCATCACAAATGATGCATGGCTAGTAAGAGTATTTGGTTCATAGCAAACGCCACCAGGATTAATTTTTACACAGTCAACTTTACCTTCGTTACATGCCCAATCAATATTAGCTTGAAGTTGTGTATCTGTCGCTGATGCAGCTGCTACACACCATGTCTTGGCCAAAATATGAAAAGGTTGGATTACAACGAGAGATAAAAAGAAGATTAGTGTCAATTGCGAAATCATTGTGGTGTTTGCTTTTAACTCATAACTCAAATGATACTGCATTATATATAATATGAGTAACTTTTTGTGAAAGTTATTTATTTTCATACAATTTTAGTTTTATTTTATAAATCTTTGACCAATTTATGGTAGTTTGTAGTAGAATTTAAGATAAATTGACTTATGAAGTAAATGACAATCATGGAATATTAATATGTTATTCACAATAGAATATTAATAGACTACTACCTTATATTATAAGTTAGTTAAAAAATACTTTCGTTGTTTCAATATAATTGTAGTTTAAGATTTTACACAAAGATTAAAAAATCATAAAAATCATATTTAATTTACCTTTTTTACATAAAATATCATTAGTTATGACTAGTTCAACCAATAGACAAAAATATTGTAAAATAAAATTGGTCAAAATATTATATTCATTTATTTATTACACAAAAAGTTGAAAATAACAATTATTTTGGAAAAAATAACAATTATTTTGGAAAAAATAAAATCTCTCAACCGATTGTAACTTTGGTTTTGAACCGATTTTAGATTGCCTATTTTTTAGGCTTCTTCCATTCTAATCAACTCTCAAATTTGGATGAGGGCTTCTCAGTTTATGGCTTCTCCTTCAGGATCAAAGTCACTTAGCTCGACATCACTAGCACATCCTCTTCTACAATCCTAATAAATCCTCTACATAGTTTTGACTGTCATATCAACATTGGATGCTCAAGAGTTTCATTCGAAAGTCTTGTTTTTATCACATAATTTTCTTTTCCGCTGTTCTCAGATTCTCTAGCGCATTAGAAAAAAAATTGTTTCAAAATTGAGTGAAAAGTATTTGTTTTAGATTATTATTTTTTTTTTTTTGTTAAAAAAAATAATTCTTTTTCTGAGGAAGTCTTTTCTCTTTCTACCAGCGTACGTAATGCCATATCATTTTAATATAACCTTCTAGATGAACGAAAAAAAGAACATTTAATTTTTTCTTTTTCACAGTAAAGTGCTATTTAGAGAAATAATTTTCTAAATTATGTTGATTCAATTTTTCCGCAAATGTTTCATCCAAATGAATTGAATTAGTTCAATTGGATCTTATTATTTCTCTAGACCTTAAGTTTAACAGATATAGAATATCTTAATTATTTATGCAATAAAATATATAGTTCCTGAATACTCTCTTCGAAGACGTTTCTTAGTTATATAAATATTGCCTTAAAGGGTGGAAAATCATCCCAACAATCATAGGAAGAAAATCAGATTGTTAAAATGTTTTAAAAAACTTATAAGCTTCGATGCTCAAATTATACTGAATTAGTATGATTCGGATGTTTACATAATAGTATCGCCAGACGAGATGTCTACATAAGAAAATGGTACCAAAAAGAAATTGCACGTTTTATGATACTGAAATTAGAGGAGTAAACCCATATAAAAAGGTTTGATTTGATAAATTAGATATCGAAGTAGAAAAATTACATGTTTATGGAAAAGCGATTCGTTATGTAACTATCAAAAATGTCTCATTTTCTTAAATATTACGTTTTTCATCGTTAAAAAGTACAAATAACCCTTTTACATTATGGATTTGATCAACTTTCCAAAAATCAGTAATTGTTACAAATTTTCTATTTAATTTATCCACCATTCGGAAAGCAAGATCATATTATATACTCGGTAGCTATATATAATTTTACATATATCCACCATGTGACAAAATATATTATGACACTAAATTAACTCAGCGCAGGAAGCAAGATTTTATTAAATTCATTGATTCTCGACCGATGCAAATAAAATAAAATAATCGATTATAGCAAAAACAATAAGATACATACGACTCGATAATCTTTTCCAAAAAAAGAAGAGAATCGATAATCTTACTACGCCCCTAATGAGTCAATGACCCGACCCTCATCATTGGAAATGTCTTGAAAATGTGAATTTAAAGGAATATGAATTTTAAAGAATCAGAAAATTTTCTATCTTCACATCCCTTGAAATAAACGTGAGAAAAGTTTATAACAAAAATAGTATATTTTGATAATCATTCAATCAACATCAACATAAATAGTTAACTGTATATTGTTCACCATAAATAGTTAAATAGTATAGTTAACTGTATAAATTTACCTTCAGTTTTCTCTCCTTCTCCGCTATAAATTTACCTTCAGTTTTCTCTCCTTCTCACAACTCAAAAACTCACACTTTATCTTGTGTCTTAGTTCCTACACATAGAAGATGGGAAATCCTAGCGTGAATGATCTCTCTCAAGTCCTCCCTCGCGTCCTTGTTGTCTCTAGACGCACTCTTCGCAAGAACAAATTTGTTGATTTCGTTGGTAATAGACATTTTGAAACATCCTTAAAATGTTATATTCTTGTTCTCACATTTTCATCTATATTTTTCAAAGATTTAATTATGTTGTATTGTTTTGCTTTAGGTGAGTACCATCTTGATCTTATAGTCGAGAACGGTGCTGTACCGGTGATTGTCCCACGAGTGGCTGGTGTTCACAAGTTACTAGAGAGCTTCAAGCCCATCCATGGAGTTCTACTCTGTGAAGGAGAAGACATCGACCCTTCTCTTTACGAGTCCGAAATATCGTCCCTTTCACCTCAAGAACTCGACGAGATTCGGAAAACACACGCAAGTGATACAGCTATCGACAAAGAAAAAGACTCTATTGAGTTTGCCCTCGCAAAGCTCTGCCTTGAACAAAACATTCCTTACTTAGGGATTTGTAGAGGTTCACAGGTAAAGTATCCTCTCCGCTGAAAAAGGAACATAAATTTTTTAAAAAAAGTTTTGCCACTTAAAGAGTGTATAGTGGCCAAATAGTTTTACAACGCGAAGGACTCAATCTTTGGCTTTGACCAAGTGGGTGAGTTCTTAAATTACTAGGACACCACGGTTGATTAACGGTGTTATTGAAACTTGTAGGTTTTGAATGTTGCTTGTGGTGGAAGTCTTTATCAAGACTTGGAGAAAGAGGTCACGATCAAGGTTCCCGAGGAACATAAAAGAAACCATATAGATTATGATGACTATGATGGTTATAGACATGAGGTGAAGATAGTAAAAAACAGCCCTTTGCATAAATGGTTCAAAGATTCTTTAGATGAAGAAAAGATGGAGATCTTGGTCAACAGT